TTTCGTTTGTAGCTGAATAGTTTAGAAGTTACAATAATTATTTATTTACATCATTTGTTTATTTGCAATAAACAAATGTTTTTTAATTATTATTTTCAAATCATATTATTTTATAATCTTTTAATTTATTATTTTCAAATAAATTCAATTAAAAAACAACATGCATTTCTCACTTAAAAAAGAATATTATGCATAAAAGAAAATGCCGTTTGTATAAAGAAAAAGACCTACCTTTTTTTTACTGACGCACATAAAATGTCTTGTTCGTTTCCGATGTTACGTCACGCATTAACGCGCCAGTCAGTCTAGAAGCCATTGTTAGCGGTCTGGTGACGGGCTGGGCTTCACCATATTTAGCACAACTAACATCAGCGGAGGCGGATATTCCTTTGAAACTGACCGATACCGAGGCATCTTGGGTGGCGTCCCTTGTGAACCTTGGACGTCTGATTGGGGCGCTTCTTGGTGCTTTTTGTCAAGGTAAGAATTCTGCGCCATTGCTCCCCTTGCTGAAAACAAGATTTATCGATCATAACTTTAGAGAGACTTATCGAAATAAATCTCTTTGGTTCGGTCAAATTCGCCGCTTAAGTTCTATTGTAAAAAAAAATCTCAATTAATTTTCTATTTTTATTATTAAATAAATGTCTTTTTACTATATGCATTATTCTATTTTTCTTATTTCAACAGGAAAATTGTTAAATTACAGGATGCAATAAAAAAAATCTAGTCCTTTCTATGCATGTTTCTTTTTGCTTGTATTACCAATAAATTTTGCTTATCGATCTATGAATTATAGTTTGAATATTCTTCATATTATTGAAAATGTGCAACAAAGAACAAGCCAGCCACGACTCAGCAATAAGTCGAAAATCGAAAGCGAGTCTTCGTGTCTCAGCAGCAAAACTGTGAAATATCGTGATATGATGAAACACACTAAAAATCCTTAGACATCCTCGAGATACCTGTATCCTTATAGATTTGTATATATATATATAATATCTTTATATCCTTATATCTTGAATTATAATTCATGTGTTCTTAAAATTTCCAATCGCTGAAATATTTGTGTCCTCGAGAAATCTCGTAAAATCCTAATATTCCCAAAGTCTTGGAATTAAAACTCTTATTTTTCGCCCTAAATTTTTACCAGAATCCTTGAATTTTTCAATTACTGGAATATTCGTGTCTTCGTCTTTGCGATGCTCCTTTCTTCAACATATATACTCCGTCGAGAAAATGATTTATCAACGCAAATAAAAGTAGAGAATGGCGTCTCTCGTTTTCGAAGAGATCGAGCCACAGTCCTGAGTTGTGGTGATCTTGTTCTCAGGATGATATGTCTCTAACGCGTGCCACGACACAATCCCTCAGAATATGTCGGACGAAAGAGGGTGCTCCTGTTATCGAGCTTGCCGTTAGTCTCCAGTTGGATCTTCAACATCTGCGCCATGTCGGTCACATGGCTCTACCTTTCCAGATTCTGTTCGGGAATCGGATCGGGCATCCTGTGGCCCGCGATGTCTTTGTACCTCGGCGAGATCGCTGACCCTTCCATACGAGGCTCTCTAGTAATTTAATTAGTCCATCTTTCTATATATATGTGAAGGCTTTTTCTAATTTTCCTTTACTTTTTCTTTAGTATATCCTTAATAAATCAATTATACAATTCAATTATACAATTGATACAATTTATCAGAGTTGATCAATTATAATAATAATAGTAATATAATACAAATATATAATAATATGCGATTATATAATACAATAATCAAATACTTTAAAATTAATCGCTCAGTATTATCATTATAGTGTATGTATAATAACAAAAATATTGATTTTGAATTCAAATTACAAATTCTTCCTCTTCTCTTTCTTTCTCATCGCTATTTTAATTGAATAGTCTTGTGAATAAAATCCATGTTTCCAAATTTTTAATAAATCATAATATGTGATTGCTTGTTCAGATATCTATGAATATAAACGCAGCATCCATAGGTGCGTTTCTAGGCAATGCGATGGGCCCTTATCTGTCCATGGAGATGTACAGCTATGTGAGCCTCGTGCCGAATATCCTCTTTGTGGCCCTCTTCAGTTTGATACCCGAGTCGCCCTATCATTACGCTCTTCACGGCAATATCGACGAGGCTGAGGCATCTCTCAAGTGGTTCCGACGAGAAGCTGACATCAAGGCCGAGCTACTGCAGCTCCAGGACTTCGTCGACGGCGCTAGCACCGGTGTTCTGACGAAGCTTAAGGACTTTCTGTTACCAGGTATCTCGAAAATAAAGTATTACTTGACTGTCTTCGTAATATATTATATATTTCTCTCTTTAAATCATTTCCTTAAATTTTGAAAAATGTTTAACATAAACATGATCTTTTATTCGAAGACAGAATTAACAAACCCCAAAGTTAGAATTTGAATAAAATTAAAAATTTTTGACTTTTTTAAATCGAAGTTCCCAAAAAGCTTTCAAATTATAAAGAACTAAAGTTCTAAAAATATAAAGATTTAAAATTTTATAGCTCTCTAAAGTTTCAAAAATACAATATTTTAAAAATTTAATTACAAATATTCAGAATTTTGTAAAAAACCATAAAATTCCACGACTTTAAACCAAAGATCTATGCAAGCTGAGATCTTTTTCCTCGTTCTAAATGCAATATTTTTCTTATATTAGGTTACAGAAAAATCATGAAACTCAAATTAGAATTAATTAATCTTTGTGCGTTCCAGCGAATCTGAAAAATGCTCTAATCATGTTCGGTCTAAATATCTTCGTCTACGCGAGTGCGTACAACACGATGAGTTCTTATGCGGAAATCGTCGTCTTCAATTCTGGGGTAAGCGTCACGCCGTCGATCGTGGTAATGGCGTTGGGTTTCTCCACGATTGTCGCTGGTTTCACCGCTATCCTGGTGGTAGACACACTTGGCCGGAAGAATCTGCTGATCGTTTCCAGCATCGGCGTCACCATTTCCCTCGCCGCTCTTGGCCTGCACTTTTATCTTCTTTCTCTGAATTTCGATTCTGAAAAGTTGACGTGGTTGCCGATCACATCATTGCTAGCGTTCAATATCTTCGTATCCTATGGCTTAATCCCGGTACCCGCTACTCTTTTAGGCGAGATGTTTCCGGCGAATCTCAAGAATTTGGCGTCTCTTTGCATTGCCTCAGGTAATGCCATGTTATCCTTCGTATTCGCCAAGACCTATCAGCCTTTTATCAATGTGGCTGGAGAAACAATCGTTTTCTGGAGCTATGGGCTTATTGTACTTACAGCAGTGCCCTATGTATGGTATTTGATCCCAGAGACGAAGGGCAAGAGCTTGCTGGAGATCCAACGATCCGTTAAGCAATAAAAGTATCGCAAATTATCAGAATCGACTTTAATGAAAAATTAATTAAATTTAATATTTTTTGATTCTCATTGAAAAAAAATCTATAAGATAATCGATCTCGATATCCATCAAAGATTCTATAGTTCATGAAAAAGTATTCCTAGTAGATCTTATATAAAATAACTTTTTAGTATAAAATATACAGCATAAGAAATATTATATTAAAATACTCTCTACATCTAAATTAAAACAATATAAATACAATATATGTGATATTAAATAATATTAATCTTTCTACACATAAATCTCGTGTATTTTAATTTATTATATATTTATGTATCATTTGGGTTGTATTTTTATCAATTAATTCCTTTGTATAATTTTTGTCTTGCTCAATTAATAATGTTAATAAAGTGAGAGCAATTGACTCAAAGATCTTATAAATAAATAATGATGACTGTGTGAAACAATCGAGATATCATTTATTCGACTGTCTGAAAACAAATATCAAATATATTGCAACGGTAACCACATAATTAATTTATTGCACTCACATATATTTTAATTGACTGAATATGAGATTATTATTGGCATTTACGAAGTATCATCAATTTGTCTCAAATGGAAGATTACTGAATCGACTTTCGCATGGTATGTATCTCTATGCATTATTACATGTGCATCAATTATAAAAAATTATATTTTAACCACAAAATATGAATATTTTACCGTACAAAAAAGTGCGATCAAGATGGCGGAAATAAAAAATACAAATTATACGTACGTTCAGTTTAGCTCTGTAATTATAATCAGATGGATATTCGATATAATATAGCTGTGTATAAGTCGTCATTATTTTCATCTCACGACGTCGTTCATTATACATGCTAATATTAAGTGCCGAGGCACGCTAGTGCCCATTAATTGTTACGGGTAAACGCAATCTCGCGCGAAAGCAGTCCGGTCGCGCGCGCGACCTTGACATTCATCAATCTCGTTTGATCGACTCACCTTCGCGTTGCACCCGTGCACCTTCTCCACGGCAGCAATCACCCACGTCGAGGGTCGTCGCACGCGATGAAAAACCGCAGGCAAACGCGCGAAAATAAACACCGAACTCGCGGACACGCCGAATTCAAACGCACGCACGAGCCGAGGAAGGGGAGAAAGTGTTATAACGGACAAAGAGATTGTGGGAGGAGAGGGGAGGGAGAGGAACAGCCAGAATGGAGGGAACGAACCTGATTGGTCGCGCCAGTGTATCGAGAATATAGCGCCATTCGATCATCGTCTTTGACAAGAGAAAACGTGATTTACTTACGTTTCTCTTTACTTCCCTTTTTCCTCTCCTTGTCCTTTACTTAAATATTAAAGTTCTGGCGAACTTGCGTAAGGAATATGCGTTGGAAAATGGACAAACTATGTACAAAGAGCGCAAAACGGTTTCTCTTACATTGCACACGTTTGATTGGTCCGATCGTCCATGAATATGCATTATATAGGTGGCTACACAAGTACGCCTGGATGGACCATCAAGGCCACGGGGCATAGAAAGATGCGAGATGGTAAACTTCAAGTCATAAGCGGATCGACCAATCGCAGTCGAGGGATTTGCAGCCTAATTTTGATTGGCCGATTCGCTCATATTTATTCTTTATGGTTGTCAGCGCCAGCTGTCATTGTCCATGTCACGCGTCACGCACAAGATGCTTTATTGTTGTTTATTGTTTTGATTTATACGTACGCATGTATAATGTGTGTAAATATACGCGACTGTCTCGTTTGATCTCGTCGCGTAAGACTAAATAAAAATGAGAAATGTATATATAATTGTAATACAATTATATATATAAAACTTACTAAACAATATAAAATTACACAATATAAAAACAATATAAAATATGTATAACAAGATTGTGATGAAATAGAGTTGTGCAATATTAAATTGTAAAATTCTGTTGTCAAGCAAACTTGAAACAAACGATGTTAACGCTAAAGATACTCGAGAATAATCTCTATTCTTGTTATTCATCTTTGTAATTTCTTTTACATTTTTTTAGAACAATTAATGCCCTTGATCAATTTGTGCCAACGAAATAATTATGGTTACAAACTTTTTTCTAATCTTTCGACATTGTTACACGTCACTCGCTATTTCGCGTAGAAATAATTTATTTTCGAGCTATCGGAAGCTGTGAGACAACTAGATTCGGAATACAAGACAAATTGATGAAACGAACAAGAGCAGATGCGAAAATTCAGCAGCAAAATACAATGGAAGAAAATAATGAAGAAACTATACCAAAGATCCAAACGACATCGATGGTTTGTGTAATATTTTATAATTTTTATAATAAACGCGTTAAAAAAATGTATATTTATATGTTAATGTAATCTCTTTTGTTCTTTGAAAATGATAAGTTAAACTTTTCGAAATAATGGACTTTTCTACCAAAAAAATAGTATAGAAATGTTTCACAACTTTCATTTATAATAATTTTTTTTTCAATGCAACTTCTTTCAAGTTACAAATATCTCTATTGAAATTTTCATACAATGTATTAACATTATTGGTTTTTATTAGGTGATATTGAATGAAAGACAAAAACTAAACTTCAAGTCTTTACAAAATCAAAATAACAAAAATGGATCTGACACAAGCAATCCTTCCATTACTGCATCCTTTAAAAAATCCAAAAATAATCAGAAAGGGTCAAACACGGAAATTCGCATCAAGGGTTAGTTACAAGCTTAGTTGATCAATTACAAGATTCTTGTTTTCATAGAGACAAGCTTGTTAACAAATTACTTTATACAGAAGAAGAAAAGTTGAAACCAAACACGAATCCTGGCAAAGGAAAACTAAGAGCTGTTGTGGATTTGGAGATGATGAAGAAAGAATTGAGTCAATTAGAGGATCCTCCTATGACACCCTGGGAAAAGGAGCTATCTTCTAACCGACTGCAATACAAATTCTTTGATACTCCCTGTGAAGAATTAGCACAGCAACTCCTAGGTTTGTAGATTAAGCTTCTCTTATGTGAGATGTATAATGTTAAACATTTTTTATTTGTTACAGCAAGTATATTTATGAAACACATCGTAGATCTTTTTAGTTATATTCTATATATTATATATGAGCTATTTGTTGAATAATTTTTTATTTTTCCTACAGGGAAAGTACTTGTAAGATATCTCGAGAATGGGACTATCCTCAAAGGCAGAATTGTAGAGACTGAGGGATATTTAGGCGCGATCGACAAAGCATCGCACACTTATCAAAACAAGGTTACACCTCGTAATCTACCAATGTACATGCCACCAGGAACTATTTATGTTTACATGACATACGGCATGTACCACTGCTTCAATATCTCTAGTCAAGGTGAACATTTTTAAATACCATTGTGAGATTAATTATACTAATATATATAAATTAAATAGGAACAATTATATAAATATGGAAAACCCCGATAATAATTGATCTTCACAACAATTATAAATGCGACACAGTTATAAATGCTCTATTTTTACATTTAATATTATATCAAATGTAGCAAATTGATCATTTTGGTTTTGCGCTGATTGAATTCGAAAGAGAACATTTATCTAAATCATTCACACTTCTTGATGTGTTATCAGTATTATATTAGTATAATATATTAAATAACGTTTAGAAGGGAACGCGCATGTATTGATCAAAGCAGTGGAACCGTTGGTGGGCCTCGAGTACATGGAATTGCTAAGAAACATGCAACACAAGAATAACGGAAGAGAAAAAGAAATCGCGAAACATGTGACGTGCCTAAAGCAATACGAACTTTGTAATAATCCGTCCAATATTTGCGACGCGTTTGCGATCGACCAGGACACTTTCGATCGGAAACTCGCTTATGCGTGTAATAATCTGTGGCTCGAGTGTCAACCCTTTATAAGGTCTCCTACTATAGTAGCTGTGCCGTGCAAAGATTCTATGTCAGATGATAACTGTACAAAAACTACGCGATATTACGTCCTGGGAAGTGCCAGCGTTGGCGAAAAAAATTCCGAATACGAGAAGCATGCTTATGTCGCGATAAATTAGGATTTGTAAATATTAAATACAAGAATTTCTCTAATATAATTCTATTTCTAATATATTGTAATGTTCTAAAGTCCGTCACACTAATCTAGGATCAGCAATTTCTCATAGTTGTTTAAATTTCTATATTCTTAAATTAGTAGATTTTGAAACGTAACAATTTAAAAAGTCAGAGTCAATTTATTTTAGTTAATGTTCAAATTTCATTAAAAGAAAATGCTGTGGATATTCGGAACTATAATCTGAAAAAATAAATCAGACATTTCTATCACAAAACTCTTTGATGCCTCTTTAATCTTTATGAAAAAGAGCATTTTTTATAAATTTGCAATATCTTAGACATTTTTAAAAAAACTAGATCCTCATATCTACAGTTTCCAAAAGACTTCATCTCACCTGTTGGTAAGGTCTTAGGTGACGGATGCGCGGTGCTGGTGCGAGCCGTCGATCCTCTGGAAGGTATGACATACATGGCTGATCAGCGCAACTCGAAGATGAGGAAAACCAATTTAAAGTCGCACGAATTGTGCAACGGCCCTTCGAAGCTCTGCATGGCGTATCAGATTAACAAGGAGCACAGCAAATATTCTCTTTGTACATGGAAAGATCTGTGGATCGAGGATGACGGTGCAGCGGGGGATTTCAGGATCGTCAAATCCGCCAGAATCGGAATCGACAGCTGTGGTTCAGAGTGGGCCAACAAACTTTTACGCTACTATGTCTACGGCAATAAATCTGTCAGTAAGAAAGACAAAAAGGCAGAGATGGAGATTTCTTAATATTTGGAGACTATTTTTGAATTGTTCTGTCTGAAAAAACATAAAGAAATCTAGTCTGCACCTCTTTATGTTTCCACATAAAAAAGACTGATATCGATACATCGATTTTAATAGCATTTCCTCTGAATCTAAATCGTTGTAAAACAGGAGTTTGAATATCTGTAAATGAGACACTAACAATAATTTACATCATTGAAAATTACAAAATATAAACTTTTTCGCCAAGACTATTTAATTCTTTTTGTTCTTATTTTTCTTCTTTTAAGTGCTAAATAAAAAATTTATTAATATTTAACTATAAAAGTGATTTATAATTAAATTCGATGTACTGACTTTTATTATGACCTGTTAATTATCTTTAACTTATATATATTATAGGAAAGCATAAATATCTTCAATAATAATATTGATAAAGAGTTTATATAGAAATTATGATATTGTCATCAAAAAATATTAATGTATTATGAAGCATGAGTATTGATTAAGATCTCAACATTGTATACCAACCATTTAAATTTATTTCTGATTATGTAAATAAAGTTAATTATTTGATTGCGGTAATCAAGAGAGTTAATTGAAATAATCAAATTTATTACAATGATCTGTTTATTACAGCAGTTAAGCATACTATTATAAAATAATGAAATTGAAATCATTCATAGGATTTCAATTATACAGTCAATTTCCTCCATAATAAGATAATTGCAATCGAGTATTTTCTTTATTCTAAAATTTCTTCAGTATGCATTCTAATATAGTGCATATGCAGAATAAAAATATTGCACGGTCCATTTTTCGCTCCAACATAATCACAACGTGAATGTGAGTAGTGAAATAGCAGCACAAAAAGAGATTTCTAGTTTAGAGCAAAATATCTGACTTGGAATAGCGAGAAATCTAGATAGAGAAAATCGACTATAATTCTAATACTTAAATTATAATAATCGCTATTCTTGCGAATAAAAGCTTGTATCTGGAGCTCAATATATCTTTCATGATTTTTCTTGAATTTACACATTTTAAGAAATCGATTATGTACATAATTATATGAAAAAAAAAAATACAATTTTGAAAATTATACCAGAACTCAAAGCGTCAATTTTGAGCCAAGCTGTAATTTATGGCTAAGCCATGATTATTACACAGGTCATAATTAATTTCTTCTTATAAAAACAGAAAAAGAAGAAAAAATAAATATCTACCAAATTTTGCATAGAAACTTCATCATGTCCACTCTTTCATCACGCGTTCGTAATCCTCTTCCTCGATGAATGGCTTGTCTATTGATCTGCGAAAAATAACCAATCATCATATTAAGATTCATTAAGGTCCAAAATTATTTTCGAATACAAATAATTTCAGAATAATTATGAATAATCTTCAAATTTTAATACTTTTCTACAATTAAAATTGTTTAACGCGACATTCAGAAACATACTCTATCATAAGCTCTCCACAGTAAAGGCATTCCGAGGCAACCAGTTCATCAATATCGGCTTTGATTTGGTCTCTTGTAGACAAAGACACGGATGTCATCGAGGTAGTGTCTTCAGGGCGATTCGAGATGGCAGTTAATTGTCGCTGAAGATCCGCTAGCTTCGTCCTTTGATCCATAGACAGCATCGGCGTTAACGCCGCCACCAAACAATCACTATGAAATTTATGACCGCAGGGAAACACATAGAAAGGTCTCAACAGCAATTGCACCTCACATGTATTGCACATGTCCCTCGCATGCACGAAGGTGCATCTGAAAGAAGGCGATTTGATAATTAAATAAAAAATAGAAACAATGCCTAATATATAAAATATTGTAATGTAATAATAAACACAATAGTCACTTTCATATAATACAAGTTTCAATACAAATTTTATAAATAATCTTAACATATTCTATTCCTTTATTCTATTCCCCTACCATGAAATAAGATATTAATACATTGAATTTGTAAATGAAGTAAATGATTTTAAAGAATTAGTTGTCAGTACCTGGTTCTAAAGGCTTGAATATCTTTTCTGATTAGCTCTGCTGCCTTTGTGGCTTCTTGCATCTCCTCCTTAAGATCTTGAATATGCTGGTTATATTCCTATTACACATTAAAAGAGAAAAGAAAAGTTAATGGTAAGAAGCATGCTAAAATTAAAAATACAGGATGTTCTCGAAATATGTTCCTGCAGTCAGAATGTGAAAAGAGATCTAATTTGAAATCTGATTGCATATATTCAGAATTAGTTTTAACTCATACCTGTAGAGAGTTGCAAATGGCTTCCTTGAAATGATCAATTGTGACAAAATCGGAAAAAAATGGCAAAATATCTTCTATCCTAACTAAATCGCAGTGCTGCAAAAATTTCATTGCTTGCTGTATGTCGTCTTTTTCTCGTACCACATGCTCCGCTGCAACACAATACAATAATCTCTATTTAACAATAATTTATAAATATATATATAATTTCTCCTTCACAAGTTTCTGTATAATAAATCCGTTGTAGATTTACAAGACTTTTTGAATAGGATTAAATTAATTAACAAAATAGTTATATATTACCTATTTTTAACCACAATTTCTTTCTTAGCTCGTCGTCATGATCAGAAGGCATGGCGGCAATCTGTTTAGCGAGATCCACACTGATCGTAAGCGCGAGATCCACAGCGGTAGCCCACAAACCGAGCAAAGCCGACAACTGTACGCAGGCTTCCGTCAAGCCTACTTCCTGGCACAATCGTAACGCATAATGCACATCATAGTGCACCATGCTGATATCCTGACCTGGGATTAACAGCAATAGATCATTTCAAGGATTGTTTTAAATTATATATTTATAATAAAAAAATTCAGAGATATATCAATTTATTTATAATTGTAAAGCAAATTAATTATTCATAAAACGCACTAGGTATTTACCTTGAGAGCTTATATATCGCATGACTTCGTCCTGTTTGTAACGCGCGTACAATGATAGAAGGAAATTGTGGATTGCTTGCTCTTGCGAGCTCTGCTTGTACACACAAAACTCTAAGAATTTAATAATTTCTTTTGCCTACAGAAAAAAATGGATGAATTATGAATAAAGCTGCTTATGTGTAATTAAAAAAGATAATATAACATCAAAGATAATATCTCGCTATGACTGAAAGATTTGATCGCGATATTGCGTGTCTGTTTTCTATATTTATCCTATTTTATTTTTGCAAATTGGATTCTTTGTGTTGTTTTTTCCAACTTTCCATTTATCGTTTTAATAATTAATCGTTATTTTTAATTTTATTATTATTACAATGTCAATATAATTATAAGATGAAAGAGTAACAATTTGTTTCTTACGTGCTTTTCATCACTATTGCATGAGACCAAAGCTGGCAAAAGTTTCGCCGGCTTCAGCGATGATCCTTGCGAGATCAAGACAGCCACTGTGGGCCGCGGCAATTCTTGCAGCAATATCCCCGCGAATCGATAGAAGAGATCTTTATTGTTTTGGCTTTTGAGCACTCCAAGTGCCTCCAGATAATTATTCTTGTACAAATGTTGGCGAATCACCTCCTCGTAGTTGCAATGCATTATCGTAAGACGTATCAAATTGTCCTTGTCGCCGTGACTGGCCATCAAATCGTATATCGTGCTACGGTTTCTCCTTATGCATTCCTAAGTATCCAAAGCTTTGGTTAGTGTTAGAATTAATTAAATTTATGATAAATCAAATTAACTTAACAAGTGCCAAAGGCATAATAAAATGCAAAACTTAACAAATATATATTTTCCGTTTCTAATCCGCTCTTATTTTCTTTACATACCTCGACTTTGGGGATGGCGAGAAAGCTGTCAAACTGTTTTTGCAATTCTAAGTATTGCGAATCATGGAGATAGGATGTGTTGCTACTGCGCAAGGCTCCCATTTGGTTCATAAATAGCTCCGTCACCCAAATTACAATCATTGTTATCTGTGTTTTGTCTTGTGTCTTCAAACCATCGAGTTTCTTGAAATAAATAATATCTATTTACTTAATATTTATTTATTGCAAAAAACAGTTGCTGGGTAGTTCTTATAGTTCTTATATTTATCAATTACCTTGCACAGAAACGTTTTCAATGCTTCAATTTGCCATTCCTGCAGAAACTTCAATGAAATTTCTTCAAAGGAAGAATGAGTATCAGCATAAATTAGAGCACTCCTCTCATATCTGCAATATATTCAAATATCGAAACAAAACTCAAACTAGAGAGATGAATACTTGATAATACTTTAAAGAAAAAATACTTTGCACACAATGATAGAAACATAAATCCACTGACTCACTCTTTGTTTTTGAAAAGCATTTCTGCCTGCTTAATGAGCACTTGATCGATGTGCGCCGGGTTGTCTTTACAATACTGTCTAGCCAGCTCAAACTCACCCTTGTCCACGTATACCTGGACAAGATACATTATTAGCGTCATTTCAAAGTTGTTATTTTTATTTTCTCTTTACCTGCCAAACATTCCTATCTTCTTTTGTTACTCTGTATTTAAAGACGGCTTGCTCACTATAAGCCCAAATCGATCTCGTCGCGGGATCCTTGGTGATGCCGATTAATTTGCCAACTGCCTAAACATCAAATAAAATTAAATAACACATACATAATATATATTTAATATTTCGCGTGACAATTTAGCTATAACGCAAAATCTATAACATTAAATTCTATTAAAATTATCTGTAATTAAGTATAGTTATTTTAATTATATTGATAGTACATTCTTTTAATTCTGTAATTCTTAATGAGCTAAAATTGTAATATAACAGTTATAAGGAACTGAGAAATTCACATACGTCATTGTATATGTCTTCAAATATTAATTCCTGATTCAGAAGCGATATGCCCTTTACATGATCCGGGTATAGCAATAATGCGTGGAATTCCGTCAATACGAAGGACAATGGTACCAAAGTGGTTTGTGAAACGTTACTGCCCATAAGACTTGTTTCTGGGCACGTCAACATCTGCTGATTGATCAGTATGTTCGTATCTGATTTCGGTTCCACCTAAAATCATCATACAATCTTCATCTAACTTGAAAGAAACATATATTTATATTTATAATAATTTTCAATTTTTTAGGAATTTAAAGTTGAATAAAGAGCGTAATTATACCTGGGCATATAAAATCCCAGCCTCTGTCAACCATCCAAATGACTTTGGAAGAGCACCCAAGGATGGATAGTAAAATTGCATTTTCGAATATGGCAGAGTATTTATTACTTCACTGAAACTCTCTGAAACAAATATGTAATATATTCATTTATTGAAATGTATAGTTCTAAACATATAACAATGTTTTTTAAATTTCTTCAAATTATAAAAAGTTAAAGCAATCTTTTCTTTTTCTTTAATTTCTTAGAATTCTTACAAGATTGATTTAAAATATCGGTATCATACATATGGGCAGCTTTTATGTATCTTTCTTACCTTGCGCATTCAAATATTTATAGAACACTTGCTGCAAGAGAGGTTTCTCTTCGGAATTGCCAATAGCACCAATATATTGATAAATGCGCATAAGAGTGGTTACAATGATCACATATTTGTCTGCGTTAGGTATTTTGTGAAATTCTATTCCAGTGATTGGAGGCTTACTATTTTTTCCTAAGTCAAATACCTAAAAAATCATCAAAGACATTTCATATACTACTTCAAAAATGAATAATTTAAAATTAATATTTAAACACACATGCGTGCATGTGTGTAATTAAAAAAATATCTTTATTAGTATTATCCTTATTTTAGCCATATAAGAGTGAGCAAATCTTTAATCAGTTTTTATCTTTCATAAAGATATAAAAGTAGTCTTCATATTTTTATGTTCTTTTATGTGATCAAAGAAAAAACTATAATATTAAAAAAAGAATATTATCGATAATAATTTATGTTCAAATATATTTTTAATTATTTGTATATAAAAATATAAAAAAGAAGAATATATGTAAAACTTACCAATCCTCCTACCTCTTTTGTACCATAAAGAGGTAGGTAATTCGGAAGCTTTGTTAACAATGAATAGTAATAATGATGAAAGACTATGAGCAAATAAATGGAATAATGTGTGATCTGTGTATAAAATATTAATACCTGACGCCAATACTGCTCCAAACTTGTATTAAAAATCTTGTCAGTCTCCAGTCCAATCTCTGTTTCAAAAATCAGACCCTTGGAAGTGCCCAATAAAATCGGACCAGAGGTTGTTTCCGAAATGTTAGAAAAGTTCCAGCCCACCGCAGTAATTTCATGACCCTTGAACTTGCCAGCCTGCTTGAGTTTTGTCGTCTTCCTATGCAAGTAGAATATCTCTGGTAGTGGATTATCTCCATGTCTTGGCACTAGAGTTATCAGCAGGTGATAGCCCAATGGATCCAGAAACAAGCCGGACATTTTCATGCTCAGTGCATATTTGGATATATCAATTTCTATAAGCAAAAATACAATGCTCTTCATTTAATAATAAAATATACAAGAAAATTATTAAAAAATATATATCATTATTATTGATTAATAGAAAAAAGCAACCAATTGCTTCGTTTACCTTCAGTTTTGTCAGGCTGTTTCATATCAATGCGCAATAAGATATTGTTAGCCATAGCAATCACAATTGTGTTGCTACTAACAGCCAAGTAAAGAATTTTATCAGATGGCAGAAAGTTAACTTTCTGTTTAGTGAAAATTGGCCCATCATCTTGCAGCTTCATTTGAATAAAGCCTGCTGTGCTCTGTAAAATAATATTACAATTGCATATTGCATTAATTATTATTTAATAATATAAACTCACAATGTCTGGACGAATTGGTGGTGCAACCACTTGCTTGGAACGCTGAGAAGCTTGTTCATACTGATCAAACATTGATGTCATCTTGATTACTAAATAAACCTGTGTAAATCAAATACATACACACATATGTAATGTATATTATATTAAAAAATAATATTATTTAAAATATCAGAATCTTCAAATTTATAGTCTCCTAAAATATTTGATCACATATAATAATATTTAAAAAATTATTCAAGAGATTTAAAATATATAAAACAATAAAGTTTGATAACAATATGTAAACAAATATATTAATAACATCAAATTAATAATTATATATATTATAAATCTTGATAAATAATGAAAAACAATGATGTGTATATATATTTCACTTACTGAACCCTGAACCTATTTTAAAAGTAAATAACACATGCAGAGATAAATATACAATCTTTTTATTTTTTAGAAAAATCCGATTGATTATTTCGCGCCATTATAAAAATCTTCAAAAAGTATTAATAGACTTATATAAGTGGCATCGAGATTCGTCTAATTCTGCTGTATTAACTAAGAATTATGAAAGAATGTCAGCTGTATCAGCTGTAATCAGCTGATTGTCAAGCGTAGACATAACCTTACGTGAAAATTATATTCGAATGACAGTTTGTCAGACGAATTGATTGGTTACCGAATAGAGATTCTCTAAAATCCAAATAGGAATTCAGAAATTCCCTATTCGATAGCCAATGTGTGTCCCCAATATACTTATATAAATATATCAATCAGTTTCTTCCAATAAATATTTAAAAAAAAGCGTTTAAATCTTTAAATTTCAATATTCTACAAATGTTTTTGACGAATGGTAAAATAAAGGATATGGCTAAAACAAATGGGTTCTTCAGGAAGATATTATCTTTTCTTTTGGGCGTATTATTAATAAATTATATATAAGTTTTTATTATTCACGCTGTACAATGAAACTTTTTTTCACACTTTCTATTTACATTCCCCATATAAATGGGGAGTAATAACAAGTGACAAAATCTCTTTTATGTAATCTACTTTGTATGTAAAAACTAAAATCTGACTCCTGAAAATTCATAAGATTCATAAGCAAACTCTTCGTTATGATATTCATCATTCTCCAAACCGATATAATCAATTTCTAATTTGAAATGACCATTAAGGTCGTCTGCTAACGTAATACCAAAATTTGTGACTTCATGCAGCATGATAACCATCTGATTGTCCTGCAATCTGCCTTTACTCGAAAATACAAATTTGGAGAATGGTACTTTGACATATTGCCAATAAGGTCCACCTCTGGTATGGAGCACATAATGATATACATCGTTCCACGTCAAGTCGAATATGCCTCTGGTTGAAATGTTCAGCGCATAACACCTGCCATCTCCTCTAACACGAAGAATGAGATGAGTATATGGCATCCAATTGTGACAAACATCACGTTTAAAGGATTTTTGTTTAGGTATTGTGGTAATATTACAGAAACCAGCATTTTTTATTCTGCCGTCTTTGGGCAAACGAGTGCTTAATGTGCCAGAAAATATGCCAGTGCCAGTAGAAGATAATTCTAATCTAAAAAGAAACAATAACAGATTACTGATATAAAATGACAAGTAAACATATCAGATATAAATATGTTTAATCTGCTATTATTATTATTATTATTATTATATTGTATGTATGTGTATCATTTATACTCACTTAGCTGTTGAGTAGCCTTCTTCGTAATCACTATCACAGCTAGTAACCCACTGATCCAATGATTCTGGACCTGTGTTAAATCGCCACACAACATCCACTTCATTTCTTCTGTACATAAAAGTGGGATCCATTCTCAATGTTTCCCTCATTTCTTTCAACCAAATACCAGACTCTTCCTTGAATTGTCGGCATCCATCGCGGAATCTGCTTATAATGTTCCAGTTTTGTTCCGGTGGTTTATCGTACACTACCTTATAACCTGATCTTCGATCTCTTTGGTAGAAAGACGAGTGATTCACAGTTACATGTAATTTCCTCCTTCTAATTGCAAAATTTGTCAATATTTTCCTAAATATTCGCGTAGTCATATTCGCTCTTTTCAAGCTGTCGTAGTTGCATACAGAGAGATCACAAGTTTGGTTAGATTACTGGATAATCTTTCCGATTTATTTGCTTTACGATAGATTGTAGTGCTTTTCGGACACGCACTGTATTTATGTCTCAAATGAGTATTCTTATTTATATATTTATGAAGATGCATTTAAAGAGACAGATTAATTCCATGTGGAAAGATTGCCGGACAAACTTGCTCACGCTACGCTACTGCGCATGTGCAGACTTCAGTAACGTACATATTCTATTTACAAATGTCATTGTATCCCTCACTAAAAAGAAACAAAATAATGTTGTATTATCCTATATAAATCTATATAAAATTCTACAGGATTTCAAGATTTTATAGAAGAAATTTTTCAGTAGTATTTTCCATTTTTTAAAATTTCAAAAATAAGAACATTATTATTTTAATCTTTGTACAGGCAGATATGATGATACAAAAGAGTAATATGTATTGTGTAATACAAACAATGAATTCTTACATAATTTACAACATCGTATATATCAATAATATACAGTCTAGTTTTAAGGAGTCTGAGTCTTCTTCTTCCTCTTCAACAATTTATATGTGTCTTTTGACAACAGATAACTGACACCTCCCGCAATAGTCGTAAATGCTGTTATATAACAGAGATATTGTAAGATTGGATGGTCTACAAAGTGGTAAACGGGAGCAGCCAGCATTCCAGCAACCAAAGACAATTGCACCCCAGTATTTAGCTTGCTCATTAAGGTTGGTGCTAATTGTACAGTAGCATGTGTAGGATCAAAATATCTTGCTAGGGTTTTCTGAAATCGTATACATCAAGTTTAATTAATCGAGCTAAATATATGATAGAATTAATAGTTGTACATATCATACACATACTGGTGGAGGCAGGGAACGATATCTAATGTAAGATGCAGCAGACACCAGAGCAACATCACGCGCGATAACGAGACAAGTAAGTGGAACTGGTATCAAACCAACCCACGCTAAAGAGAGAAATAGTGTTCCAACAAGTAACTTGTCTGCTACTGGGTCCAAAAAGCTTCCAAGTTTAGAAGCCTGTGATGTCCAAGTACGTGCAATCCATCCGTCCGCTAAATCACTGACTCCTGCAAATGCAAGCAGGCATAGCGCTATCTATGCCATGGCAGAAAGATATTTTTAGATATAACACAATGTATACAAAGTAGTTATAGAGGCAACACGATATATTGTGACACAACACATTTGTGCTTTAACTTTGTCAAAATATTGAATCGCACCTGATAATCTTGTGATAAGATCAAATAACTTAAAAATGGCGATGTCACTATGCGACCCATGCAAAGCAAATTAGGTATCGTCCAGATATTTTCCTTTTCAATGATTTCTTCTACTTTTCTTCTCGTATGTTTAATATCCTGCAATATACGTGTTCGCCATGTTTTTTTTCGAATTGCTCTATCTTTTGCACCGATACAATGTCTATAACGATTTTCACTTTCTACGACATAGGGTCTGCCTTGGCACAGCAGATACTGCCTCAAACATTGCTCTATTAAACCTTTGCTTAAGACTGCAGATCTTTGTTTAAATTGTAGAACAGTGAAGTAGCTCATAATTATATTTGTTCCTATTCGACAAATAGAATAAAAACAAAAATTATTAAATGTTTTCAGGTTTAAACAATATGATTTAATATAAAAATATTTCCCGAGAGAATTGACAGAAAGTGAATATATTGTTTTCGTTAGATTTCAAGTCGATCATTTTTTTTAGCAAAAGTCGAAGATAAAAAGTTTCAAATTTTAAATAAGAAGACTCGAAAGCATCAATATAATCGATTCGAAGCTTAATTATATTAAAACGTCAAATATATTGAAATTTTGTAAAAAACAACAACCACACGTAACCTCAACATTTCCGCTAGAAAAATATATTCACTTTCGTTTAGTAGAGTGAAGTACTGCGCGTTCATTTTCTGTCAATTCTGAGACACAACCTGTAAAAACAACTGTCTTAAATGTGAATTACTTCACGTTAATGTGTACATACTCTGCCTTTCATACGCTCGCGACGTAAGCGGCTTTACTTTTTAGGTTAGATTCGAGGAAGTAACAAACGTACAAAGTCCACCGCTCGCATATCACATCGTTCTTCGCAGTTCTTCAAGTACGAATGAACAACAATAGGTAAAGTATCTCTCAAAAATGTCAATACAAACTATATTATCCACGCGGACTTCGCCTCCGAACAAAAATCATCGTTGGGGATAAATTAATTATACAATTTTAAGGAAAGATTATATTCTCGTTTTACAGCTGATTTGTGTCAAATAATTTTGCGAATAAGGCTAAGGAGGCATCTTTGACCGAGAGACAAAATAGATAATATTCCGGAGCTTTTTGCTCCGAGAAAAGACGCAGAAAAGTCCTTTCCCTCCCCACCATCGTCGCAGTATAGGTACGTCGTGACGTCACCGCGCCTGATCAAGATGGCCGCGTCGCGCAGGCGTGATCGACGGGTCTCGGTGCAGCAGGCGCACGTCGCGTCGATCCTCGGAGCAACAGAGTGCTGTGTGTACACCCCCGCCCACGTATTATTGTGCTGGCTAGCTCACGAAGCCAGCTAGCCACGCTTCTGTCACGGGAGGACGCCCGGCGACAGCCGAGGCGGATGATGCGTCTCGTTATTCCGCGAGAGGCAAAATCCCGGGAGCGCCAACGAGCCGAATGTTGAACAAGTTTTAATGCGACACCGCGGTCGAGCATGATTCTGGCTGGATCAGACCACTTCTTGGCGGGTAAGTCCACTATGTCCGGGTCGGGCTTAAGTCTCCTGGCGACGATCTCGAACCGTGAACCCCTTCGAGGGTTTTTTTTTTTTTTTTTTTTTCCCCTCCCGAGCACTCGAAACGGGCATCGTGCGGAACGATATCGTCGACGAGACTACAAATCGCGATCTCGAAATTAAAAATCGAGAAAATTCCATTCCCTTACCTTCTCCTCTTTCTCCTATTTTATTAGGGCGTTGAAAAGAGCGGACGTCGATTGGGAATCATTATTAATAGCCGCGAGCAAAATCCTTCGGCATTGATTTTCGAGATGCGAAAAGAATCAAGAGAGAGGATTCGATAGCTTCGAATGATCGAGAATCCTCACAATCCGCATTGCGCAAGCGGATTCTCAAATTTTTTCAAGGAATAATGTACGCTCGAGAGTACGATTATCGTAGTACAAGCGAAGATTTCACAAATTTCTGGAAAGTGCGAATTAATGTCGAGATAAGAGCGATCGCGCATTGAAAAATTCAACGTTTACTTCGGCTACGATCTCAAGGGATGAGAGGTGATTATTTTTGTTGTTGTTACAATCGACTGCGTTAAACGTGCGTGCGACGCTGCGCAATTCCACGTCGCAGATAGTTTGTGTCAACTGGAGCGATAATAAATTATTCCAGGTCATTACGGCGTAATATGTCGCCGTCGCGTTAACGCGCTCGATACAATAACCGATATGATACGCCGGTGCCTATATAGCGTCAGGGTTAAAATTCCAAAATTTAAGAAAACAAAAATATATTATGTATACAGTAGAGAAAAAGATATTTTCTGAGATAGTATCAAGTCTTGCGCGAAATAGGTTTATTTTGTAGGCTTATTTTATATAAAGAATTATTTCTCTTTTTTTCTCGCATTGTTTTATTTATTTTTTTTTTTGTTATTATGTACACAGAGTGTGATTCTTAATTATATATGATGACTAGAAGAATTACATTATGTATGATCGAATATTTACAGCGATTATAAAAATTTCATATTTTTGATTATTATAATTTGATATTGTTCTGAGCTAATATTTTGATTATATATAAATGATATGATTAAAAACATTTTGCATGAATATATAGAGAGGAGAGAAGGGAGGGAGAAAAAGAGAGGGACACAGTAATTTTCTGTTACATAAATTATAATAAATCTAACGAGAATTTTTCGGGGTTTTTCAGTACCTGTGGAAGCGACTGCAGTTCTGGGTGCCGTTGCCGGTTTCGTAGTACTATTGCTGGCCCTCTTCCTCTATTTGTCTCGGAAGTGGTGCTTCACGCCGCCCTCCTCCACGGCGCTTTTCGGCGGAGTCTGTGTGCCCCTCTGTGAGTCCACCAACAGCTCCACATCTCAAATCTCGAAAAACATAGGTATATGGTTTATATCGACTTCCGTCCCGGTTCCTTCTTGCAAATTTTCGCACCGTTTCGAAACTCGAAACAATTTTCGAATTGGTTTGAATTTTATACATTTCTTCAAACTTGCGATAACGAGAGTTAATTTCAAATTTGCTAAATAAATTTTAAGATTGAGAGACGGATGAATCTAGCCTTTATTACACTGAATGATTGCTAAATTTCTGGATTGCGAAATGTTCTTTGCAGCGATGGCATAAGAAATAATTTTTAATAATCAATATATTTGCTTGCTAGGGAAGACATTCTCCTATTCAGATCCAGAAACAAGCTCCGATTCAGAAGAAGACGCTCTCCGACGATTAAATTCGCGTTCACATCCTCCGCCGGATACGTTAACTATCCAAGCGGAGGATGGACCAACGACCATTGTAGGTCAGTAATAACGACAATGTAGAATTTTAAGAATAAGAAATAATATACGTAATCGTTAGAGTTCTTCTTGGATTTATTAACAATAATCGTCGTTTGTAGATGCTGGGACCACTTCCAGTAGCTGCACTGAGGAACACTCTCCAACGGATCAGCAGCAGGTGATTTTTTGATTTTGTTTATAGGAAAATTTTTAAAAATTTGAAAAAAAATTGCTCCGAATCAGGATGCAATATTGTATTGTTCCGCTTTTTCTCATGTTTCTAGTGCGTAGTGGAAGTTGGGGCATCTAACATTATACTCGACAATAGAGAGCAGGAGATAGAGGTCGAGCAAAATGAATCGACGACCAATGATGTCATCACGACGGTGGGTACGATGGCTACCGAGGAAGTTGGTAGTCTGGAAGTCGCTTTCTTATACGATGCCCCAATGCGCGAGATGACAGTTCGTATAATTATTCCATAATACTTAATCATTTATTCATATTTATTTTAATTATTTTAATTTATTATAATTATAATTGTTTTTGTATCTTTTTAGAAACAAACGTAAATC